CACTTCCCAGCACAGCTCCTTCTCACAGGCTCCTCTGCCTTCTACACACCTGCTGAGCCTTCAGATGGCTCCAGACCTTTTCCTCCAGCTCCTACCACCACAAACAACTCTGTCAGAGCTAAAGGGTTACTAAAACCAGCTGTGCTATACTGGCAGGCTCCTTTCAGACTAATGCAGTAAGTAAAAGCAGAGCAATGAAACCAATTGTGTGGGTTTTCATGACAGTCCAGACTTGTATCAGAACTCTCACAGTATTTTAGATTTAGGAACAATAAATGGAGGGAAATTTTATGTGAAACTTTTTAAGGATCCCCCAGGCAAGGCGCTGATCTGCCTCACGTTGCTCAAAGGGAGCCATTTCCACCTCAGAGTCCCCATAAACATATTTAAAAATCAGGCAGAGAAGCAACTCTGTTACCTGTCAAGACTCCCTGCAGGAACACACAGGAATTCTGCTCCTATTTCCCACTTAAGCCTTGCCAAGCCCAAGGGATGGGACACTCTGAGCTAACGGCCCCTGAAATCACCCTTAACACAAACCAAGTTAAGGTAAATGCAAATAAAAATATTTATTTACAAATATAAAAGCAGACAACATAGTTACAGGCATTTATAAACATACACAGGACAGAGAGGAAAGTTATGTTCCATATATTTACCCCAGTGAAACTGGGAATGACCTTCTGCACAAACATCTCAGGGGTTGTCTCGCTAGCGGTGCCTGAGAGCCCAAACTGAGGGAGCAAGGAAAGGGGTGCCTGACCATCAAATTCCCAGGTATCCCAGGAAAATGGTGGGGAAGTTACACTCCCTGTGCTTTTGGTGCTGTAAAACACCCAGAAAGAAACTCCTTCTGTGCTTCAATTGTACAGTGCCAGAAGGTTCTTGTAAAACAAAACACACCAAGTGAAGGGATGGTTTTGTCAGAAATGGGTGGAAGGGGTCTGGTTTTGGCTTTGGAAGGTGTGAGAACAAGGCTTCAGGTGCAGTGAGGTAACAGCAACTTTAAGAAATTAACATCTGTCTTAAATACGTAATTTACTTAATTACAAAACCCCCCCACAAAATGTTCTTTGGAAGACATTTCAAGGGGAAAAAACTTTTTGCTCTGGTTTTTTTTTTTTTTAGTTCATTATCCACAAAATTAGATTGTCCTTTGGAAGGTCAAGTGCAAAACAGCCATGTGAGAAAACCTGCCTGGAAAGCTAAAAAAATCAATAAATACATCCCGAGGAGATGGCAGTTTTAAAACCACTTACAATTTCCAATGGCTCACATTCCAGTGTGATGTTCCTACTCTAAGATCAGGGGGACAATTTTAGTGGCGTTACATACATTACTGTCAAAGTCTCGAGGTGTTAATCAACCTCTGCAGGAAACTGAACAAGGAACTTTTATCTCATTTTCCAGCTCAAGTTCCAATTCCCTGGAGCCCAAGGAGCCAGCAGCTGAGCAGAGCCCAGGGGTGGGTCAGGCTGCTGCCAGCCCTGCCCCAGGAGCGTCCCAGCTGCAGAGCTCAGACCCCCAGCTCACTCAGCTCTTAGGTACCACCTTTTTAAGTGCCTTTTTTGTTTTCCCAGGCTGCCCTTTGGTCCCAGCCTGCCCAGGTAATGGTTTTGGCTTTCTGATGTGATAGGCTCTCCTTGCCTTCCTTACCTCAATGGCCGGTTTGGGGAACACGTCGTCCTTGCCGTCGTCCTTGCCCCCCTTGTCAACGGGAACCCACTCTCCATAGACACTGTCTGCCTCCTTCTTCCTGTGCTGGGACCCAGAGGACACAGGGAATTCCTTGGACAGGCTGACCTGGTTTTTTGGTTGGGGGGGTGGTGCTGGTTTTATGCTGGGAGTCTGAAAGGAAGAACGTGGCAGAGTTCAGAGCTGCAGACACACAGGACCCCGAAGGGCTCGGTTCCACAAACACTCCCCCTCCTCATTAGGTAACAATAACCTACAATCGTTGTAACAAACCAACCCACACGTCAGCAACACGTTCACTGCGCCAGAAGGTGAAAATTCACTGAAATCACCTGCAGTGCCCCAAATCTCCCAACCCTCCCCCTCCCAGCTGGCCCCGGCACAAAGAGAACAGCCCTCATCTGCCCTGCAGGGATTTTGTAGGGAAGGCTCCAAGGGAGAAGTCCCGGGCAGCCAAAGCACCCGCTGTGATCAAAAGCTCTGCATGACCAGACAGAGCACTTGTCAGCATCTGGTTTGCCCATTTTGGGTTATTTTTTCCAGCAGGAATTTCCAAGCACATTCCGTCTTGGACCTTGTTTTCCTCAGACAGCGCTGGCAATTCCTGCAGAGCCTGCACAGAGCTCTGCCAGGATCCCTGCCAGGAGGCAAGCACAGGTGGGATAACAGTGGAACACAGATGGGAACGGCTGACAGACTGGAGAAAGAACAACACTGAAAGGGTCCAAGACGTGGCCAACAGGCAGAGCAGCCCATCACCACCACAGAACATCCCTCTCTGGAGCCTGGAAGAATTCCAAGGTTTCTTGAGTTACATTGTACCCCTTTCTAACAACACAATCTAAAATCTCTTTCTACCTTACACATGTAAATATGTATTACTGCTTATTTTGTGCACACCACAAGGTACATGTATTTATACACAAGAACAGGAATGTTATTTCTACTCTTCTTTCTAATATAATAATCTAATGCTATTTCTATTTTCACTGACCACACTAAATACTTTTCTAGTGCTTTATACTCTGCAAAATCAGAACAGACTTTCATGGGCAAAAAAAAACGCACCAAAATTAAAACTGGGAAAAACCCACCACCTAAACTGACCCACCACCCCAAAAACTGACAAACCAAGAGAAGTTAAACTAGCTAATTAGTTGATGCTAATTGATGCTTCAAAGCATTTAAGCCCCAGATGCACTTCAACACACACTCCCAGTTTCACCAAGATTATGAATTTAACCTTGGTGAAACGGGGAGTGTTCCTGTAAACTGACAGAGAAACCCTCCCGATTTCACCTCCTGCAGTGTTTCTGTCCAATAACTTGCACTATTTAGAAAGAACCACGGTCCAAAGCATTGCAGACTCAAGTGGTACTCACACTTAAATTGAAGAAAATAGGTTTGGGCTCGCTGAGCTTGAAAGGATGGTTGTAGAAAGGCCGTTCCTCCTCCTCCTCGTCCGACACGTGGGGTTTGTTGACGATCACATCGTCCGTGCTCTGGGCAATCTTCTTGCACTTCTGAAAACGGAATGTCAGTGCTGAGTAAACCCGCACTGTGCACCCAGGCACACCCTGAACAGTTCTAACCAAAAAAATGCCTTTCTGAAGAGAAGAAAACCTTTCAGCGAGGGCACCAGCAGATGGGCTTGGGATATGCCACACAAATTATCCAACGCCAGGCACTCCCCGGTGCCAGCTCAGGACCTCGACAGGAGCCACAGCTCCCACATTCCTTCTGGAATACTGTGGGGATGGCCAGGGATGCAGGACACCCCCCTTTCACTGAATGCAGAACACAGAGGTGCTGGGCACAGTCAAATCAGGAGAAGCCTCCATGGCAGGAAATGAGGGGAAAAAAAGGACAAAAGGCAAAAAGAGTTTCTAGAGAGGCCATAATTTTGTGGTTCTCTCCTGATTTCCCAGCACTTGGACTGCTGCTGTGGCCAATTTTGATAAAACAGAAGAGAAACAACATCCAGCAGATTCCCAGAGTTGTAAGGGAAAGGAGAGGCAGGTCTGGGGCTTCCAGATCAGCACAAACTACTTTGGATCTTGGTCAGGGGATGTAAAAAAACACTCCAGGTGTGGGCACAGGGCACCTGCACCACCTCAGCTCCTGGACTGTCCCTCGGCTGCCCCCAGCCCGGGGACAACTGGGAGAGGATTTCTCAGCACTTGGACACTGCTTCACCTCAGATGTTATTTCCAGAACTGTCACACTGATGATGCAATTAAAAGAAACACATAAAAGCACTTCTGTATTCCAAATTCTCTCCAGTTTCTGGGGGAAGTGTCCCAGGCCAGGTTGGACGGGGCTTGGAGCACCCTGGGCTGGTGGAAGGTGTCCCTGCCCATGGCAGGGGTGGCACTGGGTGGGCTTTGCGGTCCCTCCCAACCCAAACCATTCTATGATTCCATAACAACACCAGAGCCAAAAACTACTACGGTTTTGAAGTGAAAGCTTTGTGTCTCATGAACAGAAGTGCAGGGAGAGACACCAATTTAGAAAAAATGGGAACAGAATCAGAACTGAAAAAAAAATGTATACAAAAAATGGCAAAATAATTGGATTTCACGCATTTCCATGTAATTCAAACATCAGTTTTAGTGACTTAAACCAGAATTGTGTCCACAATAAGGGCTCAAAAGGGTGGTGAGGCCTTGGCAGGGGCTGCCCAGGGAGGTTTGGAGTGCCCAGCCCTGCAGGTGTCCAAGGCAGGCCTGGCCGTGGCACTCAGTGCTCTGGGCTGGGGGACAAGGTGGGGATGGGGCACAGGGGGATCCATGGGCTGGGAGGGCTTTTCCCACCTGGACAATTCTGTGACTGCAAACCCAAAGCAGCTCACACGTGCCCCGAGCACACTGGGCCACGCTGCCTGCCCAGAGCCCAGCTGGGTTATGCTGCTCCCCCTCACCTCCGTGAGCTCCTTCAGCGTGTCCCGAGAGGATTTCTGGTTGGCTTTGTCGTCCTTCTTCTGGGACAGCAGGGGCATCAGGCTGGGGGGCAGGGGCACCCCGGACTTCGCACACATGGCGGCCGCATTGGCTTTGGCGATTTCCAGGAGCTGGGCCTTGTCTGGGGAGAGGCATTTTGGTCAAGTAAGGGATTACTGTTTACAGGCTCTTCTTTTAATAAAGAAGCAGCATTTCTGGCAAACTGGACGAGATTTTACCCACACTGTAATTTTAATATGTTCTGTGAAAATCACTGCTCATGTGAAATACAATTATGTGCAAAACTGTTAATAAAACAGTATTTGGCTTTATTAGGGAGCCCTGTGGCCCTGGCAGAGAAATAGGGCATGGAACTAAATTAAGCCTCCTGCCAGTTTGCAAATAAATGAGTTAACCACCTTCTAGTACTGGCAGGTTCCCAGGGTAACTGTGAGGCAGGACCAGGAGGATCAGAACCTCCAGTCCACCACAGGAGCCTCCTCACACACTGTACAAGAGCTCGGCTCCAAATTCAAACCTTCTTTCTCCTTCCTTAACTCACCACCCAAGGAAACCCCATGGCCTCTCTTCCCCCCAGCACAGAGAAAAGATGCAGCTCATTAGGAGTTTTTCTCTGATTTTCCAATCTGCTGAGTCTGGGATTATTTTTATAAACAAGTCCCCCTTTCCTAGTTCTTACCATGGGAAAGAGGTAAGACAGGGTCCTGGGAATAGGTGACAACAGACCCTGGGACTCTCCAGTTGGCACCTAAACGACCTTTCAGGTCCAACTTGTTCCCAGGAAAACTAGAAATTCCGAAGTCTCTAATGTCCAATCACTCAGCCTTCACCAGCTCCTTCCACGCAGGGAGCTCCTCCAGGCTGCTGCCTTTGCCCAGGGGCTCCAGAGCCCGGGTACCCCCTGCTCCACGGGCACTTCCACCCGAACCCAGAGCGGCCATTCCGCTCCAACACAGAAGATCCTGCTGGAAGTCACTGCCTAAAAGTAACATGCAGAACAACTTCCAAGAAATTCATTGTGAGCGCTGCAGGGAGTGCTCGACTGTGCAGACCAACCCACCCTTAGTGAAAACAAGGCCTCACTCACCCAGGTCCGTGAGACGCTTCGGGGACCTGCTGGAGAACTCGGAGGAGCGGGAGCGGCGGCGGTCGGGGGACCTGCTGTACCTCCTTCGCCCTGAAGACCTCGAGCGCCGCAGCCGGATCGGGGACCTGCTGGAGCTCCGTCTCCTCCCTCTGGATCTCGACCTCCTTTGCCGAAGAGGCGTCCGACTCCTGCTCCGCAACCGGAGCGATATCCTCCGATCTCTGGAATCCGACCTCCTCCGTCTCCTCTCGGCAGACCTGGATCTGTTTCTCTGAGATCTCTTGCGCCTGTCCCTGGATAAGGAGCGTCGCCTCCGGGATGCCGAGCGAGATCTGCTCCTCCTCCTGTGCCTGGACCGCGACAAGGAGCTGGAGCGAGAGCGGCGGTTGGATTTGGATCGCGAAGCTCTCCTCCGCGTGGCCGACCTGGAGCGATTCCGCCTGGAGCGAGAGTCCGTGTCGTATCTCTTGGACCTGCGCTGAGAGGACCTGGAGCGTCTGCTCCTGGACCTGCGTGAAGACTCTTTGTCCGCCGCCTTCTCCACGGATTTGGACTGGCTCCTTTGGCGAGCGGTGGACCTGGAGCGCCTACGCCGGGACCTGCGGGTGGACTCTTTGTCCGCCGCCTTCTCCACGGATGTGGACTGGCTCCTCTGGCGAGCGGTGGACCGGGAGCGTCTCCGTCGGTACCTCCGTGTGGACTCTTTGTCCGCCGCTTTCTCGACGGACGTGGATCGGCTCTTCTGGCGGGTGGGAGACTTTGAGCGCCTGCTGACAGATCTCTGGGGAGACTCCTTGTCGGACGCTTTGTCAACAGACTTGGATCTAGACTTTTCACGTTCAGAAGACTCGGAACGTCTGCTTTCAGGGACGAAGGAGTCCTGTTCCTCCGACTGCTCCAGAGGCACGGAATCCTGCTTATCTTCATCTGCCAAAGAGGGCTCCGCATCCTCACCCTCCTCTTCCCCACTGGAAGACTCTGACTCGTGCTCCTCTGATGATGTGGAGTCCCTTTGTTCAGCTGTCAAGGAGGGCTCTGCATCATCCCCTTCTTCTTCCCCAGTGGTAGACCTGGACTCAGCCCCGTCGGGGGATGCAGAACGTCTGTGCTCAGCTGTCAGAGAGGGCTCCACATCCTCTGCTTCTTCACCAGCCTCAGACCTTGACTCCTGCTCGTCCGACGACGTGGAATCTCTTCGCTCGGCTGCCGAGGAGGGTTCCACATCCTCTGCGTCCTCACCAGCAGTGGATCTTGACTCGTGCTCATCAGAAGATGTGGAGTGTCTGCGTTCAGCTGTCAGAGAGAGCTCCTGATCCTCTGCTTCTTCGCCAGCACTTGACCTCGACTCGCGTCCGTCCGGAGACACAGACCGTCTGTGCTCGGCTGTCAAGTCCTCTGTCTCTTCACCAGCTGTGGACTCGCGGTCATCAGAAGACGTGGAGTGTCTACGTTCAGCCGTCACAGAGGCCTCCCCATCTTCTCCATCCTCCCCAGCAGTGGACCTCGACTCGTGCTCGTCAGAGGATATGGAGTCTCTTCGTTCAGCTGTCAAGGAGGGTTCTGCATCCTCCGCATCTTCCCCGGTGGTTGACCTTGACTCGCGCTCATCAGAAGACACAGAGCATCTACGTCCTGTTGTCAGAGGCTGCTCCAGATCCTCTGCTTCTTCACCCGCGCTTGACTCCTGCTCTTCAGCGGAGCTGGAACGTCTCTCCACATCCTCCATGTCCTCATCTATGGGAGATTTCCGGTCGTGGCCCTCGGGGGACACAGACCGCCTGTGTTCAGAAGTCAAAGAGGACTCCAGACCCTCTTCCTCCATGGGAGATTTCAGCTCATGACCCTCCTGATAGGAGGACGTGGAATATCTACGCTCAGATCTCGAAGAGGGCTCCAGATCCCCCATTTCCTCTCCAGGGCCCGATCTCACACTGTAGCCGTCCGGAGACACGGAGCGCTCACCTTCAGGCAACAACAAAGGCATTGCATGGTCCATCTGCTCAGCAGGGATAGATTTAAGGTCCCTGTCATCTGGGGACATGGAGGCTCTATCGTTCAGTGCCAAAGGCTCAAGGCCATCTGTTTTTCCAGCACTGGTGAATCTCAGCTCCCGCCCATCAGGAGATGCTCCACGGTCATTGTCAGGTGTTGGAGAGAGCTCCTGCTCATCTGCTTTCCGAGGAGGGGGGAACCTCACCTCCTGGCTCTCGAAAAACAAATGGCCATGTTCAGGTGCCACAGCAGAACCCGCACCCTCTGCTCTCTCAGTGTGAGTCGCTCGTGGTTCATACTCCTCGGGGGACAGAGCGTGTTCGTTTTCAGATGTCACAGAAGGTTCCTTGGCCTCTGCTCTTTCAGTGGGGCTGGACTGCAGCTCTTGACCTTCAGGGGACATGGGACACTCACCCTCAGACAAAGACAACTCCTGCACCTCTGTTTTTCCAACAGCTGCAGGCTGCAACTCCCGGCTGTCGGTGGATATTGAGCTTTCACTTTCAGATGCTTCAGAATGTTCCTCCAATTCTTCTTTCTCAGCGGGACTGGATCTCAAATCTCGCCTTTCGGGGGACACGTCGTACTCGTTTTCAGACAGCAAAGAACTCTCCTGCACCTCTGGTTTCTCAGCGTAAGCAGGGAGCAGCTCCCGCCCCTCGGGAGATGCAGCGTACTGGCTGGCTGGGATGGGTGAGGGCTCCTGCACTGCCGCATTCCCAGCGAGGCCCTGAGGGAAGATGGAATATTCACTGCCAGGTGGCAGACAGGGCTCCTGTGCCTCTTTTTCAGCTGGGCTGGCCATCACCACCTGGCCCTCAGGACTCACAGAGCACTCCTGCCCCTCTGGTTTTGCAGCCAGGGAAGATGGCAGCGTATGGCATTCAGCAGCCCCAGCGTAGTCACTGTGGGGCATCACAGCAGCCTCCTGTGCCTCTGCCCTTCCAGGAGAGCTGGACCTCAACTCCTGGGGCAGCCAGGACACGGTGTACTCGTTGTCAGACCCCAGGGCAGGCTCTTGCAGTTGGGCCTTCTCAGCAGAGGGTGCCTGCAGCTCCTGGCTCTCGGCAGACACCCAACTTCTCTCCTCAGACATCTGGTAAAGCTTGCGCAGCTCTGTGTTCTCAGCAGGGGTCGATGTCAGCTCCGGGCCATCGAGCCCTCTCGCGCATTCACTGTCAGACACTCGGGAAGGCTCCTCCACCTCAGCTCTGTCCAAAGGGGTGGATGTCATCTCGTGACCGTCGGAGGCAACCGAACATCTGCTTTCCTGCACCTGTATTTCAGCATAGGCAGATCCCACCCTGTAGCCGTCAGGGGAAGCAAGGACTTTCAGCTCAGATGAATTCAGCACCTCCACTTTTTCAGCAGGGACAGGTCTCAGTTCATGACTGTCGGGCAACAGGACAACCCCCCCTTCTGATGTCAGAGCAGTCTCTGGGGGTTGCAGTCTTTCAGTTGTGCTCACTGCTTCCCCATCAGCAGATACAGAGAACCCACTTTCCAGAGAGAGAGGAGACTTCTGGATCTCCACTTTCTCAACTGCAGCAGGTGCCAGTTTGTAGCCTTCAGGGAACACCGAGCACCTGAGCTCAGACGCCACTGACAGTCCTGCACCTTCTGTGCTCTCAAAGGAATTGTACTTTGCTTTGTGGCCATCGTGGCACACGGGAATCCCGCTCTTGGAGAGCACCACAGATCCTGCACCGTCTATTTTCCCAGCAGGCAGGTATCTCGACTCGTTTGTTTCCGAAGATCCGGAGCAGTCAACCTCAAGGACTTGGGGAAGTGTCGGGCCGTCTAAACCTTGGCCAACAGATGATCTGGACTCGTGAACTTTAAAGGAGGACACTGAGACGAGGTCATCAGAGTTCTCAACAGGACCATGCACAGACGTGAGGGAAACATCTGCAGCCTTGACTTTTTCAACAGATAAATATCTTTGTTCATTTCCACCTGGGGACTCGAAGGACTCCCCTACAGACAATGAGGGCCCGTCTACTGGAGCAGCAAAGCCGGACTCCAATCCACGTCCATCAGGAGACATGAAGGGTCTGCTGTCAGAAGCCAGAGAAGGCTCCTGGATCTGGCCCGACTCACAGCCATCAGGGATCGCAGGGTGGGTCCCTTCAGGTGCCAGGGAAGGCCTCTGGGCTTCCACTGCTCTGGGGCTGGTAGCCAGCTGAGAAGATCCATGTTCAGGGACTTGCAGGAACTGCGGGAGCTCTGTTTGCTCACCAGGGATATGTCGCGATTCAGGACCATCAGACAAGTTGGAGAGTGCGCCTTCAGACAGCACAGAAGAGCCTTGAACTTCCACTCTGCCAGAGGATGGGGAGATGGTCTTGGAGTTGCTTAGAAATGACGGAGGAAGCTCTGGACCTTCTACTTCTCTGAGAGTTCTGGACACATCTCCACGGGATGTGGGGAGATGGAATTCTGCTGCTGAAGGAGTTTCTGCATCTCTCCTATTTTCAACAGATGAGGATCTTGACTTGGGTGTGGAATACGGAAGTTCAGGTAGTGGTGAAGACTCCAGAGCCTCTGCTTTTTCAGTAGATCCATTTTCAGATGTCATAGAAAGCTCTGAATCCTGTGTTTTTTCCACAGACATGGATCTCAGTTCCTGGCCATCTGGGGTTTTGGAGGTATCCAATTCAGACATGGCAGAAGACTGCAGATCTCCTGTTTTTTCAACAGACGAGGAGCTTTCCTCAAGGTTATCAGATGTTTTGGAAAATCCACTTCCATATGACGGCGGCAGCTCTGGGCCGTTTATTCCCTGATCAGACAAAGACATGGGACCATTGGAAGATTTGCCTTCACTTCCAATAGAAGGCTCAGGAACATTTTCAACACCTTTGGTGGACTCCTGAAGTTCAGATGACTCTGCATGTTTGCTGGACTTTGATGATGACAGCTTATTGTCTCTTTTTTCTACAGATTTGGACCTTGACTTAACGCTGTCAGAGGACTTGGAACGTTTCCGTTTGGATTTTTTGGAAGAGTCCTTGCGCTTTTTTTCGACAGACCTGGACCTGGACTTGTAACGTTCGGAGGATTTTGAGCGGCGACGCTTGGATTTCCGTGAGGACTCCTTCTTCTTTTCCACTGATTTGGATCTAGACTTGTAGCGGTCTGAGGACTTGGAGCGCTGGCGTTTCGACTTGCGCGATGATTGCTTCCGATCTCTCTTTTCTACCGACCGGGATCTTGACTTGTAGCGGTCCGAGGACTTGGAGCGCTGACGCTTCGACCTCCGCACAGACGCCTTCCGACCTCTCTTCTCTATGGATCGGGACCTGGATTTGGACTGATCAGAGGAGCCAGACCGGTGCCTGAACCTCCAGGAGTATTCTTTGCCGCCTCCCTTTTCTGAAGACCTGGATCTAGACTTGGAACGGTCAGAGGACCTGGAATGTCTGCGGCGGGATCTCCAGGACGACAACCTCTTCTCCACTGACCTTGACTTAGACCTGTAGCGGTCAGAGGACCTGGAGCGTCTGCGCCCGGATCTCCGGGAGGACAGTCTCTTCTCCACGGACCTAGACTTGGATCTGTAGCGGTCAGAAGACCTGGAGCGTCTGCGCCCAGACCTTCTGGAGGACAGTCGCTTCTCCACAGACCTGGACTTGGACCTGTAGCGGTCAGAGGACCTGGAACGCCTGCGCCCGGATCTCCGCGAGGACAGTCGCTTCTCCACGGATCTGGATTTGGATCTGTAGCGGTCAGAAGACCTGGAGCGTCTGCGCCCAGACCTTCGGGAGGACAGTCGCTTCTCCACGGACCTGGACTTGGATCTGTAGCGGTCAGAGGACCTGGAGCGTCTGCGTCTGGACCTCCGGGAGGACAATCGCTTCTCCGCGGACCGGGATTTAGACCTATAGTGGTCAGACGACCTGGAACGTCTCCGCCTGGACCTCCCAGAGGACAGTCTCTTCTCTGCTGACCTGGATTTGGACCTGTACCGGTCAGACGACCTGGAACGCCTGCGCCTGGACCTCCGGGATGACACTCTTCTCTCTCTCTTCTCCACAGATCGGGATCTGGATTTGGAATGCTTTTTTCTGGAAACCGAATAGTTTCTGCTCCTGGAACGGGCTCTTTTGGAGGTCAAGCGCCTGGAAGTAGAGCGGGACCTGGATTTCTTCTTCCGCTTCCTAGACCTGGACTGAGACTTGGAGCGGCTCCTCTTCTTCTTTGAATCGTGTTTTTTCTCACTGCTTCTATGGCTGCTTTTCTCCACCACATTCTCCAGCCTCATGAGAGTCTCCTTCATTCGTGCTGCCACATCAGGTTGCACATCAGATGTTTCTGAGTCTCTTTTCTCCGAGTCCTCTTCTGGAGTTGCTTCTTTGACATCCTCAGCCTCTGGAATGGCTTCTGCCTGGGTTGCTTCTGCTTCAGTCTCAGGTACTGGAGCTGCTTCCAAATCTTTTGCCTCTGCCTCCAACCCCACGGCTGCTGCATCTTTCAGCTCTCCATCGGTCTGAGCAGCTGCTTCCGAATCTTGCGTTCCTGCCACAGGAGTCCCTGTGGAGTCTTTGTCCTCTGCAGCGTGTGAAGAACTAAAAACTGTTTCTGCAAGAGGCTCAGATGGTTGAGGCTGCTCTGTATCTTCCTTCTCAATCACCATATCCTCCACCTGTTGACCCTGCACTACTTCTGCAGATTGTACCTCTGCTGTCACTGTGTGTTCCGGTGTTGTTTCCAGACCTTTCACATCCCCTGGTTTTGGAACTGCTTCAGGAGACTTCAGTCCAGCAGCACCCAAGACTTCTGGAGCCTCTTGTGAACTCTTCCATTCTGCAGCAGGTTTTACTTCTGCAACTCCCTGCAGCTCTCCTGGCTTTTCTGTGTGCAAAGATTCTGGAACAGCTGCTGAAGCATCCATGGCTACTTCTCCATCTGTTCCAGAATCTTTTACCTCTACTGCTGCAGGCTCTTTCATGCTCTCCAACCAACTCACTTCTCCAGCTTCTGGTGCTGGCCCCAAATACTTTGCTTTCTCCGTTTCTGAGGGCTCACTTTGCATGCTGGTCCTTGCTCCAAGTAGATATTCTACAGTAGGTCCCTGAGTTTGCACATCTGTCAATTCTGTCACATAGTTTTCTTCCACTCTGGGCGAAGACTCCAGTACTGCTGCTGAATGACCTACTATTTGTTCCTGAACAGGTTTGGAACTGGTTTCTAAAGTCTGCGCAGGTTCTAGGACTGCTTCTCTGCTCCTTGCCTCTGCTTTGCTTGGATCTTCTGGAGCGAGTTCAGAATCCTTTCTCTCCCCAATCACCTCGGATTGTGAGGTTCTGGTGTGTGTCACGACCTGAGTCTGTGAAATGATGGAACTCTGTGTTTGGTTTGCACTGAGAGGTTCTGTCCCTGCTGTGGTTTGCCAGGGCATCACTCCTGACAACGCCTCTTGAACTGGTTCCACACTCTCACGCGCAATCACAGGTTCAGAAGTCCTTTCTAAGGTAAGTCTTGGACTTGCACCAGCCCCACAATGCACAGCTTCTTGTGAAGCTTTCACACCTTCCCCTTGCAGGGACAGTGAAGTTGCTGTGAAAGCCGCCGGTCTCAGGACTCCTCCCAGACCTTGCGCATCTTCCCTCTGCAACGACGGGGCAGGTGCCAAAGCTCTCACGTTCGATTCACCCTCAGGTCTCAGCAGTGAAGCACCTTCTGAACCTGTCGCTCGGGGACTTCGAAGCCCCTCTGCCATGTGGAGCTGCGGAGCTGTTTGCTGGGCCGAGGTCTGCGCGGGGGCTGCGGGTTCTGAAGCTGCTCTGACACCTCCTGGCTCTGCAGCCACGCTGGTCCCTGCGAGTCCTGCTGGCAGCGCCGGCCCCAGGGCTCTGTCCACGCCCCTCGTTTCCACACACACTCCACGTGGCAGGAACGGCCCTGCTGCCCCCAGCACTGCTGCAGCAGCTGTGCTGCCTTCCCCAGCTTTGCCTGGCAGACTTCCATGAGCTGTAACACCCCAAGGTTCCATGGCTGTTCCCGAAGCTTTCACATTTCCCATAGCTGGTTCAATATCCTTCATTTCTGTGACAGTTCCTGCTCCTGGGGGCGTTTTGGCACTTTGTATTTCCGCCTGGGCCACAGGGGTGGCTGCAGATGTTTTAAAAGGATGTTGCAAAGCTACATTTGATCTCAAGACACTGGAACTCCCCGTGGGGAGTGTCATGCTCAAATTCCCAGTTACAACTGAGGGCTGCTGGGCTGGCTCCAAAGTTCTGCTCACGCCCCCCAGTTCCAAAGGTCTCTGCACACTCTGCACATTTCCCACGTGCAGACATTTCTCAGTTGCTTCTGGAATTTTCAGTCCTTGTCCGGCCGCAGCCACGTGAGCTGCTGTCACAGCACTGGGATCCGCCCAGTCTGCAGATGCTGGAATTGCTGCCCCACCACTTGCCAAGGACACGGCTGTCGAAGCTGTTCCCGAGTCCTGTGCTGCCCTCTGAGACACTGACTGCAGAGATGCTTCCGAATAAGGCAACACCTCCATAGCCTTGGGCTCCAGAGCTGCATCCAAAGCTTTCACCTCCCCCGTGCCTGGAGATTTCAGAGCAACTTCTGAACCTCTCAGTGCTTCTACGGAATCTTTGTGAAACTCAGATTTACTGGCAATTCCAGATGGGATGCTGGACCAAGCATCGTTTCCAGTATCAACAACACTGGCATTAACAGCTACAGGATAAATATTTCCATGGGCCTGTTGAATTTGTTCTTCACTAGTGCAAACTGTACTGGGAGCTATACTGGTATTTTCTGGGATATTACACTGGCTGCTTTCTAAAATAAATGGAGGATTTGCTGCACACAAAGTCCCATCCCCACTTCCAAGGTTTTCTGCAGACTGCTGGGAATCAGTTAGTGGATGAGAAACAAGTCCTAAAGCTTGATTATCCAGCCCCTCACTGGCTGCTGGGCACAGCTGTGGCTGCAGGTGGCCAGCCAGGCTGGGATCTCCCAGCCCTCCCTGCTGGACATTCACTTGGGGGCCGGATTTCTCCAGCAGCAGGTGAGGAGCCGGCGGCACGTCTGCAGCTTCTCCGGGACGTGCTCCCAGCTTGGCTTCCTTTGGCTGCTTTTTATGCTTTTTCTCTTTCTTCCTTTTCTTCTTCTTTTTCTTCTTCTTCTTGCTTTTGTGCTTCTTGTTCTTCTTTGCTTTTTTCCTAGGAATTTCATCTTCCCCCGTGGAGCTTCTTTTTGTGGACTGAGTACTATTTTTCACAGTATTTGTGTCTACATCTAGAAAAAACGATATTTTCCTTGTAAACATTTTAAAGACTGCATTTTGAAACTTTTTTAGACTACTG